AAAATAATACTCGTGCGGGCCTCTATAACGCAGCCCAGTTCAATTAAACAAACTGGCAGCCCAACAATTCCAGCACGTGTGTGAACACCAAACCATCACAAATATTATGGATTAAAAATCACAAATCAAGATTACCCCCTGAGATATGATGCGGCATAATTAATTAAGTGCAATTAAACTCGTATTCAAACCGCAATTGAAGGTTTGCCAAACAAAATCCTGGGATTGAATTATGAATTTAATCCCATCAACAAAGCCGTTCTTGAAGATCACTATTGCTTGGTAGGATTAATGAATGGCTTTATTACAGTGTCACCCCTGAGGTTTGGCTCATCCTGATTGTACATTCAATGTAAGAGCTCTGTGTAATGACAAATTTATAGACATTCCACTTATAAAGAAAATGATAAAGTTGGAAAACAAGAATGCATAATGGCAGAAAGAAAAGGAGGTCAAGCCGTGTTTTGATTTTCATCAAATCGATGAGCCCATAATTCCAAGCACACAAGTCTAGTCAATGGTTTGATAGACCTGAATTAGGAGCATTTTACATAATTTTACAATAAATTCTTCCAACACCCAAGTCTAGGTCAATGTTGATAGACTGGAAAATTAGGAGCATTTCAATAATTTTAGAAGTAAAATATTTTAGACTTTAGAATATATCATCGTAAAAAAGAGAAAAGATTAGTATGCATTATCATGATTAAAGAAATATTCGCCTGACCCAAAATTAATGTAGCGAGCAAACACGAAAGTCCGTGCAATTTTTCAAGTCAAGATCAATAGTTGTTTATAAAAATTAAAGTATAATTTAGATGACTTGTGTCATTAGACTTTCAGCTAATTAAGTGTAGTGAATTGGAAAATTAGGTTCGTTTCGCATTACTTTAAGAAGTAGAAATATAAATATGTATAATGTATTTAGTAAAATGAGAAAATGACAACTGGGTCAATTAGTCAACACAATTAAATTTCAGCTTGACGTCCAAAATGTGTTTCGTATATAGTCTAGTATATATTATTTTTATTTTACTTTATAATGTTGTATTAATTTAGTAAAGTTTAAAGCCTAATTATAAAAACTAATGATTTGTTTTTTTTTTTTTTTTTTTTTTGGTGGTTTATAAGTTGGTAAAGAAAGTAAGAAACTGAACCACTTTTATTAGTTCCCTTAGTTTTAGTCTTTCTTCTTTTTATTTTTATTTTTATTTTTCACTAGTACTACCAAATGATTTTTTACAATAATTAAGGTTGGACACCATCTGACCATACTACCATAGGCTTGACCGCTTGAGCAAATCGTCAAGTACAACATACTAATTGACAAGCTTGCAGAGGTTCACTCAAATGGAGATATTCAAATTTTCACTCTATAAGAGAAGAATAGGACAACCAATTAACATTGGTGTTCATATTTTAAAAAAAAAACAAAAAATGGTAGGGAGAATAACAATTTCCCACCCAAGGTTTGGCATAATTACAATGTCCCACTCAAAAACTGTGAGAAAAACAATTTCGCACCCGTTGATGAGACTTGCAGTTGAGATATGTTAACTGACGGTATAATCATTATAAAGACGAAAATACACTATATTATTTGACTCAATATTTTTCTTAATGAACTGCTACAGAAAGATTAAAGATAAAATAATAATAAATAAATACAAAAATAAGAGAAGAATAAACATCAACCTGGATGCTTATCACTTACTCTCTAAACCGAGGCTCGAGTCCTAGATGCTCTTGTCACACATCCTCTTCCCTGACAATTCCAACCCATGCAACGTAAACAAAAAGCTGGACAACTTAACCCAAACTAAACTCTAAGTTCCATTAACTCCAAACAAAACTCTAATAATTCAATTCATAACCATAATTCCCACCAAAATAAATTTACCTTTTGGGTGTCTCTTGCAACATCATAATCGCTATAATACATCTGCCCCACCTAGCCAAGTGCGATTTTGGCTGATCGCACCACAGCTGATGTAATTTGACCAAAATCACACCAAGCCAGGTGCGGTGTGGCCTAAATCACACCAATGGAGGTGCAAATATTGACAAAATTGCACTAGCCCAAGTGCAATTCTGACCAAATTGCACCTGGTTGAATCTCACCTAGATTGGTGCGATTTTGTCGCCGACAACAAATGTTGTCGATGCTCTTGTTACCGTTGTTGATATTTGTCTCGTTGATATTTTAAGTCGTTGATTTTTCGACTTCCAGTGAATTTACCATCCAATCATTTTTCAATTAAAGTTAACAATTGGATCTCAACGATAGGTGAGAAACTGTTTTTCTCAAAGGTTTTTGGGTGGGAAAACGTAATTATGCCAAACCTTTGGGGGGAAATGTATTCAATAAAAAATAGTATTTCAAAATTATTTGTATGCAAATGTATAGCATTGACTTACTCTCACCAAATTCTTAATCAGTCAATGCGCCACTACATTATTTTGGTATCAGAACTGCAGTGAAAAGCATTATAAGCCTTGAATAAAAAGGAATAACAATTTTTCTATGATTAGTAATATTGATAATCTCATTTTGCGACCAATACATACTTTGGTGTTTTGATTAGTAATACAAAGAAATAACAATTTATTGATAATGGTATGTCTTAACTTTTCTTTTTCTACTTAAAGAATTAGATAGACTTAGATAAGTAATCTGGTGTCTTCCTCAAGCATGACACAAAGAAAATGGAACCTTTACATGGCACTGCACCTATAAAGAGTTTCTGTTGTTATGATCTTGTTAGATTATGTAATATCCCACTTGAGGTACGTATTTAAGATTTGTCGTATTAGCTAATAATTTTATTGTTTTAACTTAAATTGAGTTTGTATGTTGAGTTGGTTGAATTGTTGCCTTGAAATGGGTTGAGTTTTGGTGAAGTTGGAAATTTAAACTTCGCCAGGGCGAAGAAGAAACTTCACCGCGGCGAGGAGGAGAAGTGGCATTACGGGTAGGTTCTGCCCTATTTCGCCGAGGCGACGAAAAATGCTTCGCCGCGGCGAAGAGCCTAAAACAAAGATTCTTGAGTTTTCTAGAGAATTCTTCTTTTGGGACACAATGACCATTCTACCCCTAATTAGTAGGAAAAGTGGGGAGTAAAATGAAAGGAAATTTAGTAGAGATTGTGTTTGTATGGGGGTGTAGTTGTAAAGAATCAAAGGATATAGATGGAATTTTCAAGAAAGGACAAGGGCAAAATGGGAAATGAAGCTTATAATATGAACTAAAAAGAGTAAAGTGTAGAGAAAGCCCTTACTCATCTTCATTCCACCGCCTCTTCCATTGCCCATATTCTCTCAATTTCTCCACCCAATTTTCCAAGAGTTCTAAGGGATTTAAGAGGGGTTTTGAGTAGAGATTTCATCTAAAGCTTCCTAAGGTAAGAATTCATGCTTTAGATGTGAGTTTTCTTGTATTTATAGTGAGGTCTTATTGTGTTGTTGCTGCCCTTGTGGTTGTTTTGAGTTGTAGAGAAGAGACAAGTCCACAAAAGGGAAGGAAAAGTGCTAAGGAACCCATCTTTGCACAAGGTAAGTAAATCCAACCAAGTTGAGTTATGACTAAGCTTTGAGTAGAGACTTATTTTAATTATGTATGTACATGGTATACCTACTGAAAATTGAGATGAGATGTGTGCTTAGTCTTAGTAGTTGGGATTGATTAAATATGAGAAGTGTTGTTGATATGTGTATTGAGAATGGAGTTTGAGATGAAGTTTGAGAGATGTTGTGTAATCCTTTTTGGGAGTGCTTTTCTTGACAGGGATTATGAGTAATTGAGGGAGTTTTTCCCCAATTTGGATGGCTAGAAAAATGAAGTTTAGTAGTAATTTTCGTAGGGTGTTTATATGCACATGAGATGTTTGAGGAAATGCCTAAGTGAAATCTGCCCTGTCACTGCCGTAACTTTCTGAGTAATTTTTGAGTATCTTACGGTTCGAACTGGGCTGAGACCAAAACAGAGAAGTTGTAGCCCTGTTTCTAAGCTTTGAAACGAGACCAGAACCGTAGTAATCCGAGGTGTATAGCATAAGTTATGGCCGTTTTAGTGTGACTGGTGCAGAATGACTGTTTTGAGGAAATCTTGTAGTTGGCATTTCATTAGTGCATTAGGGAGCATGAGATAGCTCTACACCTTTGTTTATACACTTGAGAAGTAGCTTGAGATTTAGTATAGAATGTGAGTATAAGTTCTTTAAGAGTTAAGAGAATAGAGTAGGTTGTGCGATGGGGAACCCGTGAGTAATGGGTAGAGTATTCCCGCATGTACGCCGCATTGAGAGCGCGGCATGAGTATCAGATAGAGAAGTGGTGTAGCCCGTGAGAGTGCATGCGGATGAGGGCTATACCCGAGTACCCGAGAGAGAGAGATTATATACTCACATGGCCAAGGGTTCCGAATCCATGCATAACCGAGTCCGATCGGCTAGAGTGATTAGAGGTCACGTAGAGCGGGAGTGAGTCCCGGCCGTGCCCCCGGTGAGATGGGGTCGTGATTTATGAAAGAATTATGAGAAAAGAGTTCCTAAGGGAAAGAGAAAGAGATAAATAGAGTGGAACCCAAAGAGAAATTGCATGAGGGATTGTAAGGAAAGAATTAGAGAAAGAGAGTTACGGGGCTAGTATGAGTAGAGGATTTACTTACTGAGCATTATTTTAGTGCTCACCCCGTTGTTTTCCCATGTTTTGCAGGACCTAGGTGAGGACACTGTCGGATGGATGTCGGCGTGCGAGGAGGAGTGGCTACACTGTCCCTGATGTTTTGATGACTTTTTGTATACGTTATATATATTTTGTGTAAAAATGCATATGTTTGTAAAGAGTATGTATATATGTTTAATAAAAGAAAAAATTGGGCCCAATTTCTTTATGTTATTTTATATGTATTTCATTATAATCTTTTGAGTAGTAGTGGCTATTACAGATTAGAATCCTCAAAACATATTTGTAATCCTAATAATCACTTTGACTTCTAACAGACACTACTAGTTGCGGGAACAGACACAACCTCGGTGATTGCAGAATGGGCTATGTCACTTCTCCTCAACCATCCTCTTGTGCTAAAGAGAGCTAGAGCTGAGCTTGACCATCATGTTGGTCATGGCCGTTTAGCAGAAGAACCTGATTTGGTCATGGCCGTTTAGCAGAACATGAAGATCATAAATTTATTTTGTTGTGTAATCTCCACCGTCCATTTCAAATCGTATAGAGATTACGGGAACTCTGGGATAATAACAAATTTTTGGCAAAAAAAATTTGGATCCAACGAAATGTGTAAGTGACACTACAATTCCTGTCAATCTTTGTTAATGTTGGGCACTAAACAGAGCATTAATGACTTGTTATAATAAATATTGCAATGACTTCGTAAGATATGAAAAATAAGGAAGGTAGAAAGACAATCATACAGTACCATATTTACATGGTTCAGCAAACCCTTGCCTACATCCACAGATGTGAGTCAAATGACTACAATAAAGAATGATAATATATGTCTAATACGCTCACCTTATGGCAATTAACAGGTTGTCTTTGATTTTTTAAGAAATTTCCCAAGTAATTACAATCATCAATAGTTTCAAAAAAATTAGACTATTTATAAAGTTTTTGAATTAATTAACTTGACCGAGACTTGCATGTTATGGTCCACTATTATCTCATAAACCCTTTTATGCTATTCAAAATCATTCTTACAACAAGTAACAATTTAATAGATGAAGAAGATTCTTAATTGCAAGAAATACAAAATTAAAAGTTTTTAGTTGCTTCACATATAAATTTATAGTTATTTTTTCTTCAAAGTATTGGTAACTATTTTTAATCTATATATATTTTATGGTGTTTAACTGTATTATGTTATTGAGATTATTTATAAAAGTTTTTTTAGTTTGATTTTTTTTTTTTTTTTTCAACTTTCAATTCAATTATCTAATATTTTATTTTATGAATAACAATGGTGGAGTATATAGTATAAGTGAAGAGTATGAGATATTAATTTTTTTCGTAATATAAAAAAACAAAGAATGAAGAGCATTTATGAAATTCTGAGTGCCATTAAAAAAAAAAAAAAAATTAAGAATGAAGCTTCTTAAATCCTCATAGAGTGTCAATCACTTCATTCAAATAAATAAAAGCCAACCTAACCAGGCAGCAGGCCCACACAACCTGAGCCTAAACCCTCAGCTAAAATGTAATCCGCCTTCTAACTTAAAAAAAAAAAAAAAAAAAAAAAAAAAAAGAACGATATAACGTAGCCCAGTTCAATTAAACAAAACGTCAGCCAACCAATTCCAGAATGTAGCTGTATCACAAAGACACAAACCATCAACAGAATATTATGTGATTAAAAATCTACACGCATAATTAATTAATGTGCAATTAAACTCGTATCCAAACCGCAATTGAACTGGTTTGCCAACAAAATCCTGGGATTGAATTATGAATTTAATCCCATCAACAAGCCGTTCTTGAAGATCACTATTGCTTGTGCAGGATTAATGAATGCTTTATTACAGTGTCACCCTAGGTTTGGCTTCATCCTGAATTGTACAATTCAATGTTAAGAGCTCTGTTGTAATGACAATTTAGTAGACATTCCACTTATAAAGAAAATGATAAAGTTCGAAAACAAGAATGCATAATGCAGAAAGAATAAGGAGGTCAAGCCGTGTTATTTGATTTCATCAAATCGATGAGCCCATAATTCCAAGCACACAAGTCTAAGTCAATGGTTGTTGATAGACCTGAATTAGGAGCATTTCACATAATTTTAGCAATAAATTCTTCCAAACACCCAAGTCTAGGTCAATAGTGTTTGATAGACCTGGAAAATTAGGAGCATTTCACATAATTTTAGAAGTAAATTTTAGTTTAGAATATTTATCATCGATAAACGAGAAAAGATATAGTTGCATTATCTATGATTAAGAAGTCTTGCCTGCAACATTAATTTAGCGAGCAAACACGAAAGTCCGTGCAATTTTTCAAGTCAAGATCAATAGTTGTTTATAAAAATTAAAGTATAATTTAGATGACTTGTGTCGTCAGACTTTCAGCTAACTAAGTGTAGTGAATTGGAAAATTAGGCTCGTTTCACATTACTTAAGAAGTAAAATACAAATATGTATAATGTATTTAGTAATATGGGAAAATGCAACTGGTCAATTGATCAATACAATTAAATTTGACGTCCAAAATGTGTTTCGTATATAGTCTATTATATTTATTTTTTTTACTTTATAATGTTGTGTTAATTTAGTCAAGTTTTTGTAACAACTCCTCTTTAGGACTATTCTTATAATACGTACTATGTAAAATATGATATGTATATATATGAAATAGTGGGCTGAAATTTTTCTTTACCATAAAAATATACTTCTTTACAAATACAAAATACTATGAATTAAAAACTTTCTAATTAATACAAAATATCAATGCTGGTGGACAGTGGTGCCAATCTCTTCGCTCCTCGACGTCCATCCGACCGCTACTCCTATTTCCTGCAAACAGAGAAGAACAACGGGGTGAGCACAACAATGCTCAGTAAGTAAATCCTCTACTACTATCCCCGCAACTCACTCTTTGGTTCTTTCCTTACTCGACTGTTCTGCTATTTCTATTTCTCACTGTTTTTCTCTTTCTTTCTAATACTGTTATTCTCCTTTAACTCTGTTCTGCTCTTATTTCTTTCTTTCTCTTTGTTCTTTTTCTCTTATTCTTACTTACCATGAAGAACAATTCATGGTTCTCTCTTATTCTCGTCATACTTACCATGAAGGAAAGTCATGGTTCTCTTTCTCATTCTCGATATACTCTTACTAACCATGTAAGAACTCATGGTACATGCATATATGAGATGTACATGCAACTAATGTAAAAGAACTGCATGTTTCTTTCTTCTACTCTTTATTCTTACTAACTCAAACTTTCGCATTCTTTCTCATACTCTCTCTCTCTTTCTATCTCATTCTTTCTTAAGCTTTCTCAAGCTTTCTCATTCTTTAATTCTTTCTATTATCTCATTCTCATTTTTGTTTCTCTTTCTCATAATTCTTTTTTGTTAACTCTCTTTAGTAATCACGGCCTCATCTTACCGGAGGCACGGCCGGGACTCGCTCCCGCTCTACGTGACTTCTACTCATTCTAGCTGATCGAACTTGGTTATGCATGGATTCGGAACCCTTGGCCACATGAGTGTATAATCTCTCTCTCGAGTACTCGGGTATAGCCCTCATCCGCATGCACTCTCACGGGCTACACCACCTCTCTATCTCATACTCATGCCGCTTTCTCAATGCGGCGCACATGCGGGAATACTCTACCCATTACTCACGGGTTCCCCATTGCATAACCTACTCTCTATGCTCGTATCTCTCTCTTATTCTTTCTCATGTTTGCTCATCTCTTTCTCAAACTAGTAGTCATAATATAGCTTAACTCTAGCTTGTCTCATCTCTATTCTTTCTCATTCTTACTCATTGGAATGTCACGACCTCATCTGACCGGAGGCACGGCTGGGCGCTACCACTCTACGTGACTTCCACTCATTTCGCTACCAATCAGATTTAGTTATGCATGGATTCGGAACCTTTGGCCATGTGAGTGTACAATCTCTCTCTCTCTCTGAATGTCACGGCCCCATCTGACCGGAGGCACGGCTGAATCAAGAATCACAAACCACACACAAACGAACACCAAAAATTTACCATGGTTCACTTGCTTAATCTAAGCAAGCTACGTCCACGTTGAGCTCGAGAAACATACAAGCTCGCTGCACTAATACTGTCAAGATTACAAATACAGATTACTCACAGCAGCAAAAACCCTCTAAATCTCTCCTTCAACCAGTAACTCTCCCTAGAGACTCTACCCTTCGAATCCCTACTGATTGCGTATACAAATACACCCAGAATGACCTAAACTAGTCAGTCAATCACAAAGTTACAAGATTCGAATACCCAAAATCGTAAACCCTAACAGACTCGATTTCGTATCAAAGAAGAAGAGAAAGTTTTACTCGAAAATCACTGTATCACAATCTGCCAAAAACTCTGCTTTTATTTGGTTGACCACAGGACTAATTTCTAGCCGTTGGATCTTCTCTTCATCAACACTCAAGATTACTTCTTCAGATTTGCTTAAAAAGATGATGTCTCATTTAAGCCATAAAACGTTACCGTTTCGAGCCATCACACTAACATTTCTATTATTGTTAGGTTAAAGATTAATAAAATCTCTCTTTTAATCAGATTTATAGATTGCTTTATGGTATCAGAGCTATGGAAAATTTTCTACCAAATTCTCGGCAACCAAACAGTTCATTTGTTCAAGAAAAGCTTCACACACTTTCTAAACAACATGATGAGTCTATTGACCATCCTAATTTCACTTCTAGTTCCACTAGTTCACTGTACCTCCAACTACTGCAACCATAACTTCCTTATCACTGACGACCTTACTTCCAATCACGATCAAGCTCCAGTAGAAAAATTATATATATTGGCAAACACAAGTACTGTCAACTGTTCGAGCGTTTGATTTGGAGCATTTTCTAACCAAATCTCGATCTTTACCGCTTGATGTCATCATTTTCGGTACTACTTCTAAAGCTTTCACCTACGTTAATCCTGCATTTGCTACCTGGTGTCGACTTGATCATCAATTGATAGTCAATTGGTTACTTGCCTTTATTTCTGAAAGTATGATGCAGCATGTGGTCAAGTGCTCCACTGTGATTAAGATCTGGACCAGCTTAGATAAACTGAATTTGACTCAGGCCAATTCGCAAATCATGCATTAGCGTCACCTTCTTTAGACTACTACTAAAGGCTCTATGTCTGTGCGTGATTATGTTTAAAAGATGAAAGATGTTGCTGATATGCTTTCAACTTCGAGAACAGATCTTTCTGATTCTGAGCTAATTCTCTATATTCTTAGTGGTCTTGGTCTTGAGTTCGATGCTATGGTTGTCAATTTGACTTCTCTTACTTCTCGGTGTGAGTCGTTTACATTAGAGGAAGCTCAGTTTGAACTTCAAGCATATGAGAATAGACTTGCTCATCGGCTTACAAGCCGAATTTCTGTGCAAGCCCACATGGGGTGGAAAGCCCAACACTGCTACTGGATGAGTTATTAAGGATAATGA